CCCGGACACCTTTTAAAAAAAAAAAAAAAAAAAAAAAAAAAAAAAAAAAAGCAAACAAATTTGGAGATATATTATTATAAAACCTACAGTAGATAAAAGACAAGTATGTGGTCGTGTAATTTAGGTAAAATTGGGAAGTCCATGGCTCAATTATTTGCAAGGGGGACAAGTATAAAAAATAATATGTGAAATGGATATACTATGTGAGAGAGAGAGAGAGAGAGAGAGAGAGAGAGAGAGAGAGAGAGATCAATAATGTTGTTTTTCCATGACCCCCATGTTATTCAATTCATATCAAGACAAACAAACACCTTTAAAGTGTCCCACCCTTTCTATCTCCAATCTGAACTGAAATTTCATTTATGAAATTTTTCTAAAGGCTAAGGGGCAATCATAAGCCAACCTAAATTCCATCTCATCAATATATTATTTACTCCAACATGGGCAAACAAGTTTATGCAATTTTCTACTAATTTATTGAGTTGGCACATAAAGCTTCTGTGTTTTACTTCAACATGTGGCATGGTATGAATAGGAACTATAGACAAGATATAGTATATAATAAATGCATTACGAAATGAAAACGAAACGACAAGTGAGAGTTTTTTTTTTTTTTTTTTTGTTCCAGATTTCGTACAACTAACTTGGAATCACAATTGCAACAGCAAGTTCGACAGCATTTTGTGCAAGTTCATTACTTCTTTCATCTTCCAAGCCAAGGGAGCTAAAGAAACCAAGCTCTAAGAGTTTCTTATGAGGTTCTGCATAATTTTTAATGAAGACGTCTCCATCCTGTGTATAACAAGAATTGGACAGTACTTAAATGAGTCACAGAATTAATAAAAGATGAAGAAACTCGCTTCTTCAAGGAGACAAGCATCCACCAAGTAAAGCAATGAAACTGCTTGGTTAAAAAATAATAATTAAATGGTTCAAACTAGAGGATGCACTTGATGCCATAAATTCACAACAGGCACACTGGCAAGTGAATTTTCCAGAGAAAGTCCTCTACTACAACCCAAACTTTAACCCACTGAGTGGAAATTTTAGCACAAAGAAAAATTTGTTTAAATCAAATCGACAGACAAAAACAGTTTCAAACTTCAACCAGTGAAAAGGACTAGAGAAAACTATTTCTGGTTGGTTAAGAATCAATAGCTCAGGCTGCTCAGTTTCAATTTGTCTTGCACTATTAAGAAGTTTGGCACATCCAATGTGCCCCACTCCTGGTGTCTGCCAGTTTTTTAGCTTTTCCTTTTTATTCAAAATACTGCATGTTATCAAAGAAAATATTTTATTGCGTGTCACCAGCACTACAACATAGCAGGGAGTTATTTGAATTCAAATTTTCTTCTCTTCCAATAAAAGTATTGATGGGATGAGGTTAAAAGAAAAGAAGTTCAAAATATTATATTTCCATTCACTTCAAACACCAGTTACTATTTATTAAATATAGTATAATAGCGTATGATCTGAAGATACTGCTACAATGGAATAATGCCAGACTTAACAAAGTGCAGATCAGGTTGTCTTCTAAAACCTTTCATGTCAGATTTCAATAATTTTTAAAGACTAAAATAACATGGGAAAACATGGAATAGGCAGTCCAACTGAAATTAGGTTTTACTTCATTATTTATTCCATTTCTAAACACTTTGACAAAAGCATCTCCTGTTTTTGAATGTCAGTTTCTACCTGGCTGGAGGTACATATTTTGAGTCTTTTTATTACATGAATGTACTTTGCTTCTTTTTCGTTTTTCCATTTTTTTTTTCTCCTACAGGTCACTCGAATGTTTGTCTCTTTGCTCAAGAGAGAAGAATGGCATGATTTCTCTGTGGACAACGATGTTCTGCATCCATGCTTTACGGAAAATAGCTATATACTCAGTAGCTATGAGGATAAAAGACTTAATTAAAAGGTCTTCATATGTCCATCTGTGTGCGTGGGCATGGAAATATGGATGCACGAATGTTTCTTTATCACGAGTACGATGTTATAAACTTCATAACACGAATGTTTCTATATCACGAGTACAATGCTATAAACTTTGTAACCCAACTCACACACCTGTAATGCTGCACTGGCATACTGCCCTTAGTATATATAAAAAGATTAATCTGTTTACATGATATTAAAAAAAATAAAACAATTAAAAAAAAATTCCTTTGTGCGTTGAAAAGGCATGTGTTCAAAAAAAATAATAAAATGGAGATTACCAAGACATAGCCATCCGATAGTGTCCTGAAGTCTTTATCAAACACTATCGGTGGATTATCTGACTCAGATGTGGCAATCCACTCGTATACGAAATTATACATGTAAGATCAAACTTAAGTTCAGCATCCACTTGATAGAAAAAAGTTTACAAAATCTCAAGTTGCTTTAGAAAGTACACTGTCATCAAAGTGTCACATGCGATCTGATTCGGTTACTTTAACCTGAGAGATGAATAAGGAATATGAAAAGAAATGCTCTTGAAAGAGAAATGTATGTAACTAAATGTTTACCCGAGTCAATTATCCTTCCACGATAGGTATTGCAGAACATGAATATACTAATTAAACTCGTACAAGTACATCTTAAGATATTAAGTGTTAATGAACAATGAATCTAGACCAAACTGCATGTACAATGACAAAGACAATCAAGGACAGACCGAAAATTATGGTTCCGCAAGGGAGATAGAAAATGGACTAAAATAAATTGTGTAAGAAACCCAAAAAAAAATAAATCTGAATAATTTACCAAATAAAAAAAAATCTGAAAAATTTACATTTAAAAAATCCCAGTTGAAGTAATGTGAAAATTCAGTAGCGGCGACTGCACCCACTAGGCCCTTAATGGCTCCGTCCCTGAAGACAATGGTTCATTTAATTGGAAGTGCCAACTACAGAAAATAAATCCTAGATAGAGCATGTAAAAGGATCAAAATTTCTAAAATTCTAAAGAAAACAAAGAATACTAAATTCTAATGCAAAAGCTCCTACGAGAGTAAAACATTTATCCTCCGTGAGTGAATAAATATGATCCCTTAAAATTCTTGCTAAAAGGGGGGAAGAGTGAAAATTATTAGACAGTTCTAAGATATTTGTATTTAGCATATGGAAGTTGCCCTTGTAGCACAGATTATTGAGCCCTCAAAAGGATAAAAAAATATCCATAAAATAAATATAGCAGAAATGAGGATGCCAAGTTAGACTTGTGGTAATACTACTGATAGATACAAAAATAAGAAACTAAACATACACCATCAAGTGGAGGTAGTAACAATTCACGATAAATTTATAGAAGGTAACTTCGATGGTTGAAGTATGCCTTGCACAGAAATTCAAATTCATAATAGTGGTGTGATTGAATGGAGAAACTTAGATGAGGGACACAAGGATCCAAATCAATAAAGCATGATATTATGAATTGAAAAAGATGTAATTACGTGGACCTTTCACCTTTCAGCAGATGTAGCTCTAAATTGAACATAGTGGTAAAAATGGAGTTATGTAGTCGCTATCAAGTATTGGGAATAAGACTTGTTGTTCATGTATGGGAACACCCCTCATTTGCACTACAGTTTCCCATCTTTGTGCTGCTCCTTTTCTTCCATTCTCAAACTTTCTTGGGATTTGATGACTTAGTTTTCATATGTTTTCATGTTTGCTTTTCGTTGGTAATAGTTAAGACTAGATTTCTCAGTTCAAACTTTGACTTGTATTTACGTCAAGACAAGAGTCTCGATGTCAAAGATGTACAATCATGTCTTAATAATATTTATTTTGCTGAGTACCATCTAGTCTTCAACAGATTTAGTTCCTTTAATATTAAAGTGTGGTTTATGAAAACTGAACTAATATTTATGATTCTTTTGAATTCAATTTTTCACCAACGAAGGATTTCAATATTCAACTCCGATGCCGATCGGACCATCACGATTATATCCAAATATCCATGTTTCTTACGAAGCAGAATTTTTCCATCTAATTCACCCATGCTTAGCTACTGTCATATAACAAAAGGTAAGCATGTAATCCGTACTTCTACAGCAATTATTGTATTGGAAAAGAGAAGCATCGAATAATTCACCTACATCTAAAATGCATCTTTCATAGATATGAAGTTGGATCAAACGGAGTCAAAAGATTTATATGTCAAACTACAGGTTTATCGGGAATAAGGCCTAGCTTCTTCTAGTTGTTGTTGTACACCTAGATTGCTACTACTGGATAATAAGTAGCATGATCCACTACTATAAGTGGATTAAATGAACTCAATCATTAACCCCAAACAGCTTAAACTTCCTCTTGCTTTACTTTTTGGCCTGAAGTTTCCTCAACAGGCAAACATAACTAGAGTATCAAGAATGAAAATCTCAAGAAACACAATTCAATCCTTACGTTAAACCACAAAAATTAATTTTGTGACATTTAATCAATCTGCTTGTAAAGAAATGGCTGTTTGACAACACCGAGTTCATAAACTGAGACATTTCCACAAACCCATTGGGGTCCACGAAACCAAATGTTCTTCCAGAAAAGATACAAGAGTGGAAATAATTTTCTAGTGTAGGTCTAAATATATAATTTTCTGTACTTTAGCAAGTATTCATCTTCGAAGCTACAAAACTGTAAATTCTTCCTACGATTGGCATTAAACTATGTTAAGCAATAAAATCAACCGAAATTCTCTCCCTTCTTGTATGTGTACAAACATGACCTTTTTCAAGATATCATCCAAAAGTATAGAACTAATAAAACTCCCCAAACAACAATATTTCAACTCATAATTTTGTCAAGCAAATACTTCTCACTGTGAAAATAGTACTGCAAGTTATAAGACTAATTCTTACAATAATTGCTTCAACAAATTGATGAAGATACGTAGCGACTACTTTATTTACATAGATTTTTCATAAAGTCACTTAGTGTTCGAAGTGAATATGAAGAAAAAACTAACCGCAAAATCGAACCATTGAAACATCTGGTCTGCTTTTCACGTCATAGATTACCTCTATATATTATCTATAAATTTAAGAACAAAGGAAATAATTAAAATTTCTCAATTTACTATTTTTCAGAATTAAAAAGAAAAAGATAAAAATAGAAAATTGAGAGATAAAAATGAGAAAAATCAACCAAGCGAAGAATGTATGGAGGCAGTTTTCACTGGAGATGAAGGCGCAAAATAGTAAAGGGCAAATTTCAGCTGGGTACCTCACCTTTCAAATCATTGAAGATTATACCACAAATATTTTCATTTTTGCATCCAAAATCCCAAACATTTCATTTCAATTGCAGCTGGACCGTTAGTCAACCCCAAAAAAACCAATTTCATCATATTTTGATTAATTTTAAATGGGAAAATTGTAAAATAATGGAAAATAAAAAGATTAACAGTTCATCTTCTTCTCCGCCACCCCCACCCCCACCCCGCCCTACCTTAATACTCAACCAAACCAAAATCTATCCACCTTCGTCCACCACCGCCATCGTTGTCGCCATCCACTTCCTTAATCAAATCAAACCACAATTCACACATCACACTAAAATCATCATTAGCACCATCACAAGCAGCTCATACCATGTCCCACCTAACCAAACAAAAACCCACAACCGCCGATTACCCCATACTCCATCATTTTCAAGAATTCAAGCAAAACGTGAAAATGAAGAAGAAAGACAACAAAACACCTTACCACCAAAACAATAAAGATGACCCGAAACTATCGATGCAATTGTAAGAATGAAGAAGGAAGAAATTGCAACTAGAAAATTAGAGAATTTTTTCTACTTTCTATTGCGTTGAAAAATTGAATTGATTTTTGTACAAAGAATGCTACGTGTATATATACAGGTTTTCTATCCTTTTATAACAAAAAAAGGAAAAACATAGAACTCAGCAAAATATCTAGGAGGGGGCATTTTTTCCCCGAACCGGTGGAATCAGACCGGAACCGTTTAGAATCGGCCGGTTTGGTTCCGGTTCTTCTAAAAAGTAATTTGGTTTCGGGACAAATTATTAAGAACCGATCTGTTCCGGTCCAGTTCTTGGTTCTAGTATGGGAACCGCGGGAAATCGAACGATTCTCATAGAATTTTTTTTAGTGGGCATTTTTTTTCTTTTTTGGTAAAATATAAGACTTACTCTCCAATTTGTCCTGAAACCAAATTGATAATATATATGACTTACTCTTAAAGTGAAAAGAAACTTTCATCAAAGTAAAACAAAATTAAAAAAAAAAAAAAAATTGTAGTATAACAACGTAAGCAAAAGGCAATGACATATGGAAATGAAACGAATGTTTATGTATATAGTTCATATGTCACTTTTTAATTAAATAATTGAGAAAAATATTGAATTGTAATTACCTGAAGGCTGAAGAAAATGTTAAAAAGGAACCCTTCAGTTGGCATTTTTTTCAGTAAAATATATGACTTACTCTCCAAACTCTTTTATTTTGTTTTCATTTTGATGAAAGTTTGTTTAATCATTGAAGTACTAGACGGTTTATATAAGTTAATATTTGTTTGATAATAGTAACTTATATTATTTACATATTGTTTTAAAATTTGTATACTTAGTTTTCTTTTAATCTTTGTATAATATGTTCGATTTTTCTATATTTTTTTAAAAGTATCACAATGGTAGTTTTTTTATATTTTTTATTAGTAAACATTTTATTTTGACATCTTTATGTAAAGCACCGGACCGAATCGGAATCGATTGGTTCGGTTCCAGTTCGGTTCCATAGCTAACAATGAAATCAATGGTTCCATTTCTAAAATTCTCATTGGTATTTGGTTCAGTTTGGTTCCTTTTAGAACTAAACCGAACCGGACCGCGCCCACTCCTAAAAATAACCAAAACAAAAATCAGAAGCTTCTAGTATCCTAGCTAGGTGTGAGCTGGTGACGTGTAGCATAGGAAGCATGACTAGCATTAGAATCTTCTGCAGCATTTGTGTGCTGTGATACCCCCCGCAAGATGGAGAATAGAGATTCACTATTCCCATCTTGAACAAATGAGAAGTGAGAAAGGGAGAAGGTAAAGCCTTTGTGAGAAGGTCCGCAAGCTGAAAATGAGTAAAGACACGGAAAGTTTCCACAGAACCATCAAGAATTTTATCTCGAATTAGATGACAATCTAATTCATTATGCTTTGTAAGTTCATGAAAGACGGGATTGACAGCGATATGAAGGGCTACTTAGTTATCACAGTAAAGTTCTGCTGCTTGGGGTGTGAAACTTGAAGGTCTGTAATAAGAAATCTAAGTCAGGTGAGCTCTAAGCACGTTGCTGCCATGGCCCTATACTCAGCTTCAGCTGAGGATCGTGAAACCACTGATTGTTTCTTTGATTTCTAGGAGAGAAGAGAGTTCCCTAATAAAGCACAATAGCCAATTATTAAGTGTCGAGTATCAGGGCAAGAGGCTCGATCCGAATCACAATAAGCCTTGAGTTGAAGAGAGGAATTACTAGAGAAGAAAATGCCTTGACCAGGAGCTGTTTTAATGTTGGACATAAACTGACTGAGAGTATTCATATCATAGTAGATGTCTGGGCGAGTTATAATTAGATAGAGCAATCTCCCAATCAACCTGCGATATATAGAAGCATCCTTCAGTACACTACCACTTTCTTTATTGAGTTTTAGATTCTAGTCTATAGGAACACGAACAAGTTTAGAGCCCAAAGTTCCTGAGTCTGCAAGTATGTCAAGGGCATATTTGCGTTGACAAATGTGAATCCCTTGTGAAGAACGAGCTACTTCAATGCCAAGGAAATAGCAAAGAGGGCCTAGGTCTTTAATTTTGAATTTATCATTCAAGAAAACCTTTACATTAGTAATAGTATCTTGGGAATCACTAGCCACAAGTATATCATCGACGTACACTAAAAGTGCTGTAAAAGAACTATCAGTTGATTTGATGAAAAGACCATAATCAGCCTTCGACTGAGGAAAACCAAAAGCCAATAAGCATGAGGCAAGTTTGGCATACCATTGTCTAGATGCTTACTTCAAACCATATAGGCCCTTTAAAATCTTGCAAACCTGATTAGGCCTTCCTTTTCGTGTAGCCAGGGGGCTTGGTCATGTAAATTTTCTTCTTTAAATCTCCATGAAGGAGGGCATTATTGACATCAAATTGATGCAAATGCCAACCATGAATTGTTGCAACAGAAAGTAGGCACCTAACTGTCACTATCTTTGTTACCGGTGAAAAAGTTTCAGTATAATCAACTCCTTCTTGTTCGGCGTATCCTTTAGCAGCCAACAGGGCTTTTAACCGTTCCACACTACCATTTGAATTGTATTTCACCTTGTATACATATTTGCAGTCAATAGGCTCCTTCCCAGGAGATAAATCAGTGAAAACCCAAGTGTTCTTTTGTTCTAAAGCATTCAATTCAGCATCCATGGCTGTGCACCTGCCATGATCTTCCACTGCTTGAGCATAGGTATTAAGTTCAATAATTCTAGAAATAGAAGAAAAGAAAGCCTTAAAAGAAGGGGGAAAATGTTCATATGATAAATAATCACATAAAAAATGAGCAAGTAGAGGAAGTAGCATGTACCTGAACCTGTAAGCGAGATGAGGGAGCCAAGGTAGCCTGTTGATAGTGAAAGTCCCGTAGGTAGTGAGGAGCAGTTCTAGTTATTGTAGACCTATGCAGGTTAGGTTAAAGAGAAGTGGATGGAGGTGTAGGTGATGGCACTGAAGGTAGAGGTTGGGATAATGAAGTAGAATCAGAGGAAGAATCGAGTACATTTGGAGATGGGGATGTGGAAACTTGTGGATAATCAAGAAGGTCAGGAAGATGATAGGTGAAAACTAGTGGGACATGTTGAAGATTATTGTTAAAAGAAGGACCTGCATTCTGTGGAGAAGTGATGAGTTGAGGAGAAAGAAAGGAGAAAACATGCTCATGAAAAATAACATTCCTAGAGACAAAAGTGGTGTTGGTTGTGAGATCTAGAAGTTTGTAACCCTTGACTCCATAAGGGTAGCCTAAAAATATACATTGTCTACCTCTAGGATCAAACTTTTTGCAGTCATGTGAGATGGTCGTGGCATAGCAAAGACATCCAAATATTCGAAGGTGTGTGTATGTGGGTTTGATAGAAAATAGGACTTTATATGGTGATTTATTATTAAGTAAAGGTGTGGGGGTTCTGTTGATAAGATACACATCTGTGAGGATGCAATCATTCCAAAAATGGAGAGGTAGACTAGATTGGAAACGCCAAGATCTAGCCACATTTAAAATATGTTGGTGTTTCCTCTCAACTATTCCATTTTATTGTGGAGTTTCTACACATGACCTTTGATGGATAATTCCCTTTTTATTGAAAAATTCAGTCATTTGAAACTCAATTCCATTATCACTTCGAAGGATTTTAATTTTAGTGCCAAATTGAGTTTCAATAAGGTTGCAAAAAGATTCCAGACACTTTCTAGTTTCGAACTTAGTTTGAAGAAGGTAAACTCAAGTTGTGCGTGAAAAATCATCCACATGGTTAAGAAGTATCGAGTCCCATCATAAGCAGGTGTTGAAAAAGGCCCCCAAAGGTCACAATGTATCAAATCAAATAAGGCATATGATTTATGATGGCCAACAGGAAAAGGAATCTTATGTTGCTTAGCAATGGAACAAACAGAACAATGAGCATTAATATTAGCATTAAAACTATCTTTTAGAGCAGGATCATCAATCAAAACAATTCTAGAATTTGAAGCATGACCAAGGCAAAAATGCCAAAGGTCAGAAACATAACTACTAGTTCTAATAGACGCAGAAAAAAATGGAAATGAAATAGGCAGAGAAGATAAAGCTGCTGCAAAAGCATTTGAAGAAACTTCCATTGACAATAAATGATAGAGGCTATTCTTGAGCTCACCCATCCCAATCGTGGTCCAGTTGGAAAGGTCCTGGATAAAACAATAGTTGGATAAGAAAATTAAACAAGTGAGAGATTCTGTGAGCCTTTTGACAGAAAGTAAATTGAATGAAAAGGATGTTACACATAAAACATTTGTCAGGAAAATGTTTTTGGTTACTTGAACATTACCCAAATGAGTTACAGGAATAGAAGCACCATTAGGTAATTTTACTGAATATGAAACTTCTGAAATTATGGAAGAAAAATAAGATCATGTGATCTATAGCACCAGAGTCAATTATCCAAGGTATGTCAATGATCGATGCAAATTTATGACTACAGGAAGAAAAGCAACGAGGTATACCAGACATCTTAGAGGCTTTATGTAGTAGCCGAGAAAAATGAAATGGAATTATGCTAATATTTTGTGATGATCTAGCACCACGAGTCTAACCTATTTTAGAAACGACCTATGGAAGCTCAACCCATGTAAGATTACGAAAGCCCAAGTCATAAGTTAATTAAAAGCCCAGCAATTTAAGAGATTAAGTTTAAATAAAATTGTTTACAAAGATTTAATGAATAAATGGGTTGCCACAATGGTCATCTACATGGTATTTCATATAGGTAACCCAGTTCGAAACACCATGTAGATGTATTTTATAAAACTTTTATATGAATTATTTTTATGGCTTAGAGACTCTTCAAATTCTTAGTTAAAAGCTAAATTTAATAAATTTAATGATAATACAACGCCCCCACTTAATTTTTCATCAAAAAGAAAGGTTATAGAAGTGGAGGGTTACTTTTTCACTACACTTCTCTTCAAATCCGAATTTCATCTCATTTTCTCTCCAAAAAAAATATTTCATATCGAGTTAAGTTTAAGAAATAACAAGGGTGAGAAGAATGAAGGTTTTCTATACATTTTGTTCTTTTATCCAAGAAAATTCAAGGTAGGTAGAGGTGCAAATGTTCATTTGTTTTCAAATC